TTGCAAATTGAAGACTAAGACACATGAACAACAATACTTGTTGCAAAGTAAGCTTTTTGCTGGGAGGAGCAGCATTTTTCTCTGTTAGACTTTCATAAAGTTAAGACACCGCTCTACACAGAGTGAAACACGTCTTGAAGCTCTACACAGAGTGAAACACGTCTTGAAGCTCTACACAGAATGAGACACGTCTTGAAGCTCTACACAGAGTGAAACACGTCTTGAAGCTCTGCACAGTGAAACACGTCTTGAAGCTCTACACAGAGTGAAACACGTCTTGAAGCTGTACACAGAGTGAAACACGTCTTGAAGCTGTACACAGAGTGAAACACGTCTTGAAGCTGTACACAGAGTGAAACACGTCTTGAAGCTGTACACAGAGTGAAACACGTCTTGAAGCTCTACACAGAGTGAAACACGTCTTGAACCTCTACAGAGTGAAACACGTCTTGAAGCTCTACACAGAATGAAACACTTCTTGAAGCTCTACACAGAGTGAAACACGTCTTGAAGCTCTACACAGAGTGAGACACGTCTTGAAGCTCTACAGAGTGAGACACGTCTTGAAGCTCTACACAGTGAAACACGTCTTGAAGCTCTACACAGAGTGAAACACGTCTTAAAGCTCTACAGAGTGAAGCACATCTTGAAGCTCTAAACAGAGTGAAACACGTCTTGAAGCTCTACAGAATGAAACACGTCTTGAAGCTCTACACAGAGTGAAACACGTCTTGAAGCTCTACACAAAGTGAAACACGTCTTGAAGCTCTACACAGAGTGAAACACGTCTTGAAGCTTACACAGAGTGAAACACGTCTTGAAGCTCTACACAGAGTGAAACACGTCTTGAAGCTCTACACAGAGTGAAACACGTCTTGAAGCTCTACACAGAGTGAAACACGTCTTGAAGCTCTACAGAGCGAAACACGTCTTGAAGCTCTACAGAGTGAAACACGTCTTGAAGCTCTACACAGAGTGAAACACGTCTTGAAGCTCTACACAGAATGAAACACTTCTTGAAGCTCTACACAGAGTGAAACACGTCTTGAAGCTCTACACAGAGTGAGACACGTCTTGAAGCTCTACAGAGTGAGACACGTCTTGAAGCTCTACACAGTGAAACACGTCTTGAAGCTCTACACAGAGTGAAACACGTCTTGAAGCTCTACAGAGTGAAACACATATTGAAGCTCTAAACAGAGTGAAACACGTCTTGAAGCTCTACAGAATGAAACACATCTTGAAGCTCTACACAGAGTGAAACACGTCTTGAAGCTCTACACAGAGTGAAACACGTCTTGAAGCTCTACACAGAGTGAAACACGTCTTGAAGCTCTACACAGAGTGAAAAACGTCTTGAAGCTCTACACAGAGTGAAACACGTCTTGAAGCTCTACACAGTGAAACACGTCTTGAAGCTCTACACAGAGTGAAACACGTCTTGAAGCTCTACAGAGTGAAACACGTCTTGAAGCTCTAAACAGAGTGAAACACGTCTTGAAGCTCTACAGAATGAAACACGTCTTGAAACTCTACACAGAGTGAAACACGACTTGAAGCTCTACACAGAGTGAAACACGTCTTGAAGCTCTACACAGAGTGAAACACATCTTGAAGCTCTACAGAGTGAAACACGTCTTGAAGCTCTAAACAGAGTGAAACGCGTCTTGAAGCTCTACACTGAGTGAGGCACGTCTTGAAGCTCTACACAGAGTGAAACACGTCTTGAAGCTCTACAGAGTGAAACACGTCTTGAAGCTCTAAACAGAGTGAAACACGTCTTGAAACTCTACACAGAGTGAAACACGTCTTGAAGCTCTACACAGAGTGAAACACGTCTTGAAGCTCTACACAGAGTGAAACACGTCTTGAAGCTCTACAGAGTGAAACACGTCTTAAGCTCTAAACAGAGTGAAACGCGTCTTGAAGCTCTACACAGAGTGAGGCACGTCTTGAAGCTGTACACAGAGTGAAACACGTCTTGAAGCTCTACAGAGTGAAACACGTCTTGAAGCTCTAAACAGAGTGAAACACGTCTTGAAGTTCTACACAGAGTGAAACACGTCTTGAAGCTCTACACAGAGTGAGACACGTCTTGAAGCTCTACACAGAGTGAAACACGTCTTGAAGCTCTACACAGAGTTAAACACGTCTTGAAGCTCTACACAGAGTGAAACACGTCTTGAAGCTCTACACAGAGTGAAACACGTCTTGAAGCTCTACACAGAGTGAAACACGTCTTGAAACTCTACACAGAGTGAAACACGTCTTGAAGCTCTATACAGAGTGAAACACGTCTTGAAGCTCTACACAGAGTGAAACACGTCTTGAAGCTCTACAGAATGAAACACGTCTTGAAGCTCTACACAGAGTGAAACACGTCTTGAAGCTCTACACAGACTGAAACACGTCTTGAAGCTCTACACAGAGTGAGACACGCCTTGAAGCTCTACACAGAGTGAAACACATATTGAAGCTCTGCACAGTGAAACACGTCTTGAAGCTCTACACAGAGTGAAACACGTCTTGAAGCTCTACACAGAGTGAGACACGTCTTGAAGCTCTACACAGAGTGAAACACGTCTTGAAGCTCTACACAGAGTGAAACATGTCTTGAAGCTCTATACAGAGTGAAACACGTCTTGAACCTCTACACAGTGAAACACGTCTTGAAACTCTACACAGAGTGAAACACGTCTTGAAGCTCTACACAGAGTGAAACACGTCTTGAACCTCTACACAGAGTGAAACACGTCTTGAACCTCTACACATAGTGAAACACGTCTTGAAGCTCTACACAGAGTGAAACACGTCTTGAAGCTCTACACAGAGTGAAACACGTCTTGAAGCTCTACACAGAGTGAAACACGTCTTGAAGCTCTACACAGAGTGAAACACGTCTTGAAGCTCTACACAGAGTGAAACACGTCTTGAAGCTCTACAGAGTGAAACACGTCTTGAAGCTCTAAACAGAGTGAAACACGTCTTGAAGCTCTACAGAATGAAACACGTCTTGAAACTCTACAGAAGGTGAAACATGCCTTAATGAAGCTCTGTGCAGAGTGAAACATAACTTGACAAAGCTCTATACAGAGCGAAAGGCTGTCCTAATAAAAGCTTGGTCTGCAGTGTGTGTAGTTTCTTCAGTGTTGTCGGCAGTACAATGTTTTGATCCAGTGTAGACCACGGTTTCTCACGGTGGGTCTTGAAGAGTGGGTTCAAGAGGAGACTTTTAAGTTCTTCGTGCTCTTAGGAAGAAGATTAAGACGAATAAAAAGAATAAAGACACATGTGCAACACTTAAGGCATCGTTTCGCCCCCTTGTGGGCGAAATGTCTCCTGATTCAATGCCTTTAAGTGTTATAAATGGTGTGGAATGTTGAAACTCTTGGGTATCTTTATGGGTGATGGAGATACCCAAGTGTTGTGTCTTGTTCATCTGCACTTAAGTGTTGCACACTTGTCTTTGTTCCACACTTTGTGGGTTTTGTCCCAGCTGTACTTGTACCAAGTGGACCTGACTGTAGTCGTGAACACTCACGGGTACACCCTGCTAAGGTGCTACTCTCACACAACAGCAAAATCCGCAAAGAAAATTTGTATGTATATATATATATATATATAATATATATATATATAATATATATATATATATGATATATATATATTATATATGTACATGTATATATATATATATATATATATATATAAATATATATATATATATATATATATATATATATACGTATATAAATCAAATCAATTGAAGTGATACGAGCTTCATACAAACTGTTTACAGGATGTGTATACTTAATTCTATGAACATTTTTCTTTATGGTTATCTGTGCATACATTATGTACATTGTGTCAGCGCCTAACAGATTGCTTTCGGGGTTGAAGCAGTAGTTGGTGGACTGGAGGGGCTGCAGGGGCTGCAGGGGCTGCTTTTCCTAAAATCACAAACGACCAAGAAATTCCCATTTGAATTAGACGCCTGTGCAGCCATACATATACAAATTCCCATTTGACTGGGAAATTTTTTTTTGGTCAAATTTCTCAATTTTGTTTATGACCCCGCGGTCTTAAATTCTGATAATGCCTGTGTGTTGCCTCTGGAGAATATTGAAACTTAGAAAAGAGAAAAAAAAAGCACAATACCGTAACTGGAACAATACACAAATAACCCGCACATAGGAGAGAGGAGCTTACCACGACGTTTCGGTCCGATTTTTTTCAGCATAGTTGCTGATCTTCCTTTACATGTGTTGTGTGCATAGATTAGCTGAGTATTATAGTACCATCCATGTGCTTTATATAGAAGATCCCTAGGCCTGTGACTGTATGACGTCACGGAATACAGCATGAGTGAGTGAGAGGCGCTGCCTCGTCCTCACTCCACGGATAGTCATACAAGCAGGCAGAACAAGGCAGGCCTGGGCTCCCACCTCTTACCACAGTCTGACAATATATAGCGTTACCATCCAACCAGTGTGTTTATCTTCACCATCATATCTCCTTCCGAACCCCCACGACATTTGGACCAGTTACAAAGTCGTCCAAGTCGGACCGAAACGTCGTCGTAACCCTCTCTCTCTTGTGTGCATAGTTATTTGTGTATATTGAAATTTGACTTTTCTTGTTCACTACCCGTTCGATTTGTCTTTTTTTCGTGGAACTGACTCATTTAAACCTTGACTTCTACACACAGAAGTATTTTATTTATCGGTATAAAATACCGACAAGTTGAAGAGTAAGACACAAGTGTAACAGTTGGGTATCTTTATTGATGAAACGTTTCGCCTACACAGTAGACTTCTTCAGTCAAATACAAAGCAAGCAGTAGAAATGAAATAAAGATGATGCAATCAGTCCATCAACCTTGGAGAAAAGTATTTGGGGTTTGGTCAGTCCCTCAGCCTGGCGAAGAGTTCAGCTTCATGGTCTGGAACGATGTCGTTCCAGACCATGAAGCTGAACTCTTCTCCAGGCTGAGGGACTGATTACATTATCTTTATTTCATTACTACTGCTCTCTTTGTATTTGACTGAAGAAGTCTACTGTGTAAGCGAAACGTTTCATCAATAAAGATGCCCAGCTGTTGCACATGTGTCTTAATTTACCACATGTTGCAGACAAATCGTAACCTACTCTGGTTTCTTCCGGTAACAGGCAGACAATTCTCATGTTTGTTGACTTGCTTGGTTAATTAATCTGGCTAGCAAATCCTGTTGTCGTTCGTGACTGGCGGATCATCTACGGTGTTCGTGAGATGGATTCGGATGGAAAATCATCTGTGGGTAGTTTCCTGAGGATGCTAAGTTGATGTAATCTCAGGCGAGGGCAGTGTAGGCCTCCTGTTGGTGTTGCTGCTGCAGGTGCTGTTGTTGATGCCGCTGCATCTGGTAGTGCCGCTGCTGCTGCTGTTCGTGCTGCTGGTGCTCTCGCGTGCTCCTGTGAGACTGATGTAAGGAATGACCCAGAATAGCGTCAGTGTTCACGACCTGTAAAAGGACGAACAGTGTAAATGAACAGCAGGAGTGCAGTGAACACTACTCAGTATTGAATATAAAAATATATAAACGTTTCGCCTACACAGTAGACTTCTTCAGTCGAGTACAGACAGTAGGCAGGAGCAGCAAAGATGTGAAGACGATGTAATCAGTCCATCACCCTTGAAGACGTAGTTTTGAGGTGGTCAGTCCCTCAGCCTGGAGAAGAGTTTTGTTCCAGAGTCTGGAACAACGTGAAGTTGAAGCGACAGTATGGAGACTGTCAGAAGGTGAGATGTAGTCTACTAGTAGAAGAAAGAATGTAATCATTGAGAGGGCAGGTCTGAGGGACTGACCACCTCAAAACTACGTCTTCAAGGGTGATGGACTGATTACATCGTCTTCACATCTCTGCTGCTTCTGCCTACTGTCTGCACTTGACTGAAGAAGTCTACTGTGTAGGCGAAACGTTGCAACAATAAAGATACCAACTGCTTTCGGTATTTTATACCATTTTAACACATTGGTGGAATGTTTGTCATGGCCTGGTCATGGACCTGGTCGCGGGGGCGGTGACCCCCGGAATACTCTTCAGGTATACAGAAAGTTGATGTGCTGAAGAGAGTATCAGAAAGCAAGTAGCAATATGATTATCCGCTTATTTGTAAGTGTTATTATACTTTCAGCTTTGTTAACAACGAATGTAAACAAAAGACTGTGGTGGGCTGGCTGGCTCGCCTCAAATCGCCCTCTCTAATCTATTTGTGGATGATTTGGAAGGTAACTATATCGTGACTGCCGTACCTAACTCAGTTACCTAACTATCCATCGTTCGTAGGTACCTTAAAGTACGATACATTACACCTAACTAGCCATGATTCCTAGGAACCTTAAACTACGGTACATAACACCTAACTAGACATCATTCCTATAGGAATTTATCGTTAAAGAAAAAAAAACAGATAATTTTTTTTCCTTTTCGTATCACTACACAGTGTTAAGCTTTTACTCCCACCATAACATCACCATAACAACACCATAACAACACCATAACATCACCATAACAACAGAACAAAGACAGTTTTTTTTTTCTAAGAGGCTTTCAAGAATTCTAGGCATCAGTACTTTACAGATCAGTGGTCATACATCTCACAGGCTTCAGGTCATTTGCATCATCCACAATTTTATCTCTGTAAGAAATGGGACACAGTCATCCTTGGCTGGAATATCAACAAAGGTGTCAAAGAAAGACTGACTAAATACATCGTGGCAGGAGTCAGCAGCCTGGTAACCAGTGTATTTCCTAAGATTACCAACAAGTTACCTATGAGAGCTACAAGATCTCTCATCTTTATCAAAGATTTAGTGTGTAAGAAGCAGAGAGCTAGTTAAGGATGGGTGTGTCATACCTTGTGAGGAACGCGACGAGAAATACACAGGTGAAACTGTAAGGTTCCTCACACTGAGATTTGGTGACCGTAAATACAGCGACTGCGTGCAACACAGACACAACCAGAAGGATAAAACAAAATTAGTATACAGACACGAATTTTCCAGTTGATTGAAGTATTGTGACATTGTAAACAATTTGATTGTATTTGCATTAATGTGATTGTGTGTTTTTGTGTGTGTGTGTGTGTGGGTGTTTTGTGTGTGTGTGTGTGTGTGTGGTGTGTGTGGTGTGTGTGTGTGCGTGGGGTTTTTTGTACCCCTATTTGGGTTGCGGGGGGTCGAGTCGAGCTCCGGGCCCCCGCCCTTCACTGATCGCTACTGGGTCACTTCCCCCTAAACCGGGGAGCTTTATAAATCCCTTTGGCTTAAAAGCTATTTAGGGGATCCCTGCCTCCACTACTTTCGTTCCCAAACTTTTCCCACTTCCCGGGACAAATTTGTGGCTGAAAGAAATATTCCCTAACATCCCGGGTGATTAATCTGTGTCTTCAATTTCCCAACTGTGTCCCTTTTTACTTTTCCAATCTCTGGAACTCCTGCCCCTTTTGCCACCTTGTAAATTTCCTCTCATTTTTTTTGGGTTGCTTTTATCATTCCCCCCTATCTCTCCTTTTCCCCAGTGTCGTCAGGTTGTTTTCCCTTAACCTTTTCCTAGTAGGACTACCTTTTTGCTCTGGGGACTAGTTTGTTGCAAACCTTTGCATTTTTCTCTAGTTTCTTCACGTGCTTGGTAGGTGGGGTTTTCCAAAGGGTCCCGGGCAAACTCCAATATGGGCCTAACATACACGGGTGTAAGGGTCCTGAATGATTCCTTAATTTTGATGTCGGAATGGTTTTTTGAGGTTTTCTAAAGGGGCCCCCTATGCTGCAGCAGTTTTTTTGGGGTTTATGTTTCCCCTTCAGGGAGTGCCCGGTGTTTTACTCCCCCCCAAGATTTTTTCCTTTGAGTGAGGTTTGTAGTCTCTGGGCCCCCCCAGACTGTAAATCCCTCTGCGTTCTTTTTTGCCCCTTTCCCCCAACTTCTGACTTTTCACTTGGGTTGGGGTTGAACTCCCCCAGCCAATTGCTGGACCAGGGTCTGCAGCCCTGTCCAGATCCCCCTTTTTAGGGTTCCCGCCCCGGTCTTCGATCGAGTGAATTCTTTTCATCAACTTCACGTCATCTGCAAACAGGGACACCTCAGAGTCTATTCCTTCCGTCATGTCGTTCACAAATACCAGAAACAGCACTGGTCCTAGGACTGACCCCTGCGGGACCCCGCTGGTCACAGGTGCCCACTCTGACACCTCGCCACATACCATGACTCGCTCGCTGTCTTCCTGACAATGTGTGTTGTGTGTGTGTGTGTGTGTGTGTATGTGTGTATGTGTGTATGTGTGTGTGTGTGTATGTATGTGTGTGTGTGTGTGTGTGTGTGTGTTGTGTGTGTGTCCTGTATGTGCGTGTGTGTGTGTCTGTATGTGCGTGTGTGTGTGTCTGTATGTGCGTGTGTGTGTGTGTGTGTCTGTATGTGTGTGTGTGTGTGTGTGTGTCTGTATGTGTGTGTGTCTGTATGTGCGTGTGTGTGTGTCTGTATGTGAGTGTGTGCACCTCATAAGATGAGGTGCACACTAAACTAGTCACCCATGAATGGTTCACACATAGAGGGAAACGCTTAACAGCTTCTCACATACCAATTTCCAACACTATCACAGGACTAGGATACCTTCATTGTCTCCAACTATTTCAATATATTCTTACCCACACACACGCAGCGCTGTATAGCCCTTGTGGTTTAGCGCTTCTTTTTGATTATAATAATAATAATAATAATAATTACCCACACACACACACACACACACACACACACACACACACACACACACACACACGCACACATGTACTTCAGTACCTCGCCTGATCTCCCTTACCACATGTGTGTACGACTTATCTATGTATTAGGACTGAAGAAGCCACACGTTTGCTTTAATAAACATAATAACTGCATGTATGTGTCTTCTCTCACACTCCTCGTCCTGAATGACCCGCACGATTTTAGTGCTTCACGTGAATCAGAATAACACTGACATTGCTGGTTGCCCCGAGTATTTCACTGCTTTCATTTGATTATCTTTCTTAAAAGGATTATCTGTTTTCTTTAGTATGATCGTTACAGACCCTTACCTGTGAAGATTCAAAGCGGTGGGCGGGCAGGGGCTGTGTGGGCGTAAAGTGGGCGGCGGGGGCACCGTCGTACCCATCCTTGAAGACAGGGAGCACCTTGGGCGTGGGCTGACCCTCCCTTAGGTCGCTGGCTGCTGCTATTTCTTCTGAAAAACAAGACAAAGAGAACATATAAACAAGACAAAGACAAGTTAGGTAATATATCGTAATAACTGTAATATACAGATAACCCGCACATATGGGAGAGAAACTTACAACGACGTTTCGATCCGACTTGGACCATTTACAAAGTCACACTGACACAAAAGAGTGAGTGAGCCAGTGTATATAGGCGAGGGGGAGAGGGACGAGACCAAGAGAGGAAGAACAAGAAGTACTAGTAATGGTAATGCTGGTAGTGGAAATAGTAATAGAAGTAATAGTGTTAGTAGAAACTAGGGAGAGTAGTTTTAGTGGCTCAAGAGAGGGAAACGGGAGTGAAGGATGAAAGGAACAATAGTAATGGTAGTAGCAATTGTAGTAGAAATTGAGTGGTAGTCGTAGTAATAGTAGAAGTGGGAGGAACTGGTAATGGGGAAACTAAACGCCTCAGGGTCATCTGTTATGTGGTAATGAGAGGCAGATAGATATAATCCAAACAAATTGGAATGTAGATCTAGTTCCTGAACTAAGTTACCAGACATATTAAGTAAATGCAGTAAATAAAGTTCTTCTGTATGCCAGTTAGTAAATGCAATTTATATAAATGAGTTAAAATTGAACAGCAGATAATATAAAGACACTTCTTTATGCTGCTCAGTCTTGGATGTGATATTCCCGTTTTGTTTACGCAAATTTCAACCATACATAAGAGCTGTATAAAATAGCTGACTGGTACGTAACATCACCACCCATCCTTCAGAGTGTAGGTACTGTACTTCCCACCTCCAGGACTGTAACATCACCACCCATCCTTCAGAGTGCAGGTACTGTACTTCCCACCTCCAGGACTGTAACATCACCACCCATCCTTCAGAGTGTAGGTACTGTACTTCCCACCTCCAGGACTGTAACATCACCACCCATCCTTCAGAGTGCAGGTACTGTACTTCCCACCTCCAGGACTGTAACATCACTGCCCATCCTTCAGAGTACAGGTACTGTACTTCCCACCTCCAGGACTGTAACATCACCACCCATCCTTCAGAGTGCAGGTACTGTACTTCCCACCTCCAAGACTGTAACATCACCACTCATCCTTCAGAGTACAGGTACTGTACTTCCCACCTCCAGGACTGTAACATCACCACCCATCCTTCAGAGTGCAGGTACTGTACTTCCACCTCCAGGACTGTAACATCACCACCCATCCTTCAGAGTGCAGTACTGTACTTTCCCACCTCCAGGACTGTAACATCACCACCCATCCTTCAGAGTACAGGTACTGTACTTCCCACCTCCAGGACTGTAACATCACCACCCATCCTTCAGAGTACAGGTACTGTACTTCCCACCTCCAGGACTGTAACATCACCACCCATCCTTCAGAGTGCAGGTACTGTACTTCCCACCTCCAGGACTGTAACATCACCACCCATCCTTCAGAGTGCAGGTACTGTACTTCCCACCTCCAGGACTGTAACATCACCACCCATCCTTCAGAGTGCAGGTACTGTACTTCCCACCTCCAGGACTGTAACATCACCACCCATCCTTCAGAGTGCAGGTACTGTACTTCCACACTCCAGGACTGTAACATCACCACCCATCCTTCAGAGTGCAGGTACTGTACTTCCCACCTCCAGGACTGTAACATCACCACCCATCCTTCAGAGTACAGGTACTGTACTTCCCACCTCCAAGACTGTAACATCACCACTCATCCTTCAGAGTGCAGGTACTGTACTTCCCACCTCCAGGACTGTAACATCACCACTCATCCTTCAGAGTACAGGTACTGTACTTCCCACCTCCAGGACTGTAACATCACCACTCACCTTCAGAGTGCAGGTACTGTACTCCCACCTCCAGGACTGTAACATCACCACCCATCCTTCAGAGTACAGGTACTGTACTTCCCACCTCCAGGACTGTAACATCACCACTCATCCTTCAGAGTGCAGGTACTGTACTTCCCACCTCCAGGACTGTAACATCACCACCCATCCTTCAGAGTGCAGGTACTGTACTTCCCACCTCCAGGACTGTAACATCACCACCCATCCTTCAGAGTGCAGGTACTGTACTTCCCACCTCCAGGACTGTAACATCACCACCCATCCTTCAGAGTACAGGTACTGTACTTCCCACCTCCAGGACTGTAACATCACCACCCATCCTTCAGAGTGTAGGTACTGTACTTCCCACCTCCAGGACTGTAACATCACCACCCATCCTTCAGAGTACAGGTACTGTACTTCCCACCTCCAGAACTGTAACATCACCTCCCATCCTTCAGAGTGCAGGTACTGTACTTCCCACCTCCAGAACTGTAACATCACCACCCATCCTTCAGAGTGCAGGTACTGTACTTCCCACCTCCAGGACTGTAACATCCTCACCCATCCTACAGAGTGTAGGTACTGTACTTCCCACCTCCAGGACTGTAACATCACCACCCATCCTTCAGAGTGCAGGTACTGTACTTCCCACCTCCAGGACTGTAACATCACCACCCATCCTTCAGAGTGTAGGTACAGTACTTCCCACCTCCAGGACTGTAACATCACCACCCATCCTTCAGAGTACAGGTACTGTACTTTCCACCTCCAGAATTGTAACATCACCTCCCATCCTTCAGAGTGCAGGTACTGTACTTCCCACCTCCAGGACTGTAACATCACCACCCATCCTTCAGAGTGCAGGTACTGTACTTCCCACCTCCAGGACTGTAACATCCTCACCCATCCTTCAGAGTGTAGGTACTGTACTTCCCACCTCCAGGACTGTAACATCACCACCCATCCTTCAGAGTGCAGGTACTGTACTTCCCACCTCCAGGACTGTAACATCACCACCCATCCTTCAGAGTGCAGGTACTGTACTTCCCACCTCCAGAACTGTAACATCACCTCCCACCCTTCAGAGTGCAGGTACTGTACTTCCCACCTCCAGGACTGTAACATCACCTCCCATCCTTCAGAGTGCAGGTACTGTACTTCTCACCTCCAGGACTGTAACACCACCACCCATCCTTCAGAGTGTAGGTACTGTACTTCCCACCTCCAGGACTGTAACATCACCACCCATCCTTCAGAGTACAGGTACTGTACTTCCCACCGCCAGGACTGTAACATCACCACTCATCCTTCAGAGTACAGGTACTGTACTTCCCACCTCCAGGACTGTAACATCACCACCCATCCTTCAGAGTACAGGTACTGTACTTCCCACCGCCATGACTGTAACATCACCACTCATCCTTCAGAGTACAGGTACTATACTTCCCACCTCCAGGACTGTAACATCACCACCCATCCTTCAGAGTACAGGTACTGTACTTCCCACCTCCAGGACTGTAACATCACCACCCATCCTTCAGAGTACAGGCACTGTACTTCCCACCTCCAGGACTGTAACATCACCACCCATCCTTCAGAGTACAGGTACTGTACTTCCCGCCGCCAGGACTGTAACATCACCACCCATCCTTCAGAGTACAGGTACTGTACTTCCCACCTCCAGGACTGTAACATCACCACCCATCCTTCAGAGTGCAGGTACTGTACTTCCCACCTCCAGGACTGTAACATCACCACCCATCCTTCAGAGTGCAAGTACTGTACTTCCCACCTCCAGGACTGTAACATCTCCTCCCATCCTTCCTCCAGGACTGTAACATCACCACCCATCCGTCAGAGTACAGGTACTGTACTTCCCACCTCCAGGACTGTAACATCACCACCCATCCTTCAGAGTACAGGCACTGTACTTCCCACCTCCAGGACTGTAACATCACCACCCATCCTTCCTCCAGGACTGTAACATCACCACCCATCCTTCCTCCAGGACTGTAACATCACCACCCATCCTTCAGAGTGCAGGTACTGTAGCAATTTAGTAACAATAGTTTCATTACCGGCTACTAGTTAAGGTAGGGTAAGTCACGCTCCCGTTTTTCCGGCCTTTTCTTCCCCCCCCCCTACCCCTAAAGTGATAGTTTGATTGCCGGCTGCTTGTTAACGTAGGGTCAGTCTGGCTCCCGCTATCCCTTCCCCTCCCTCTTTCCCCCCCCCCCTCGAAAGGTGACGTATGGGGCTCTGGTCAAACAGTGAATCACTCGACTCGCAGCTCCCAACACTACTGTAAGTACATGCCTGCTTTGTATTCTAGTGGATTTATTGGTTAAAAGCTTCACTTTTGACCAATAATAAACTTAGTCCTTTCAGTCTTGCTCTAAGTTGACTGTTGTAATAATCACCACGTCTTTTGAGTAATGTACACTGCCATGGAGAGTGATTATTTAAGCAGTGGGTAACCTACCTGGAGGTTACCTGGAGGTTATTCCGGGGATCAACGCCCCCCGGCCCGGTCCATGACCACCTTTTCCGTGATCAGGGCCTGATCAACTGGGCTTTTTACTGCTGGCCGCAGCAGCCGAGTACGACCACACCCCGGCTGATCCGCCTGACTTTGGGTATCGCCACTCTCTTTTTAAGCAGCCAGGGTTTTTTGGGCAATTCCCCTAACTGATGGAGGCTGTTAAAACAGTTTTGGGCCCCCGGGACATTTAAAGGTTTTTTCTCTTAGTGTCCCAATGGCGCCCCTACTTTTTATTGGGCATTTTGCATCGCCGCCCATCTTTACTTTCGAAAGGGATGATTTCTGTGTGCAGTTTTGGGGCCCCTTCCTTCCAAGATTTTCCAAGGTATTTTAATGATTATCCTCCCTCCTTTTCCAACGAGTAAAGTCAAGGTTTCCCACTTTTCCCTATTAAGGTGCTTGACGAATTAACGGCAGAAAAGGGATCCACACTCTCTGATCTGCGATTTCACCTCTTTTGGAGATTTTTAATGACAGCGTATTCCAGCCTAGAGAGAACAAGTATTTAAAAAGGATCACTGGTTTGGGGCATCTCTCCAGGACTGTAACCCCACCCCCTCCTTCAAGGGCAGGACTTATTTCCCATTTTCCAGAACTGGTAACATCACCACCCATCCTTTCAAGT